GAATTTTCAAAATATCATAAAAGTACCCCGAAATTTATTTCGCTTTGAAATTCTCAGATTTTAATAAATTTTAAATGTTCATCATAATGCCATCTATCAACTGAAAAAGGTGTTGAAAAGTTAAAAACCTAAATTTCAAATTCAGTTGGCGAAAAAAAAAAAAAATTAAATTTGAATGGAATGAATTTAGATACTGTACATTTTCAAACTTTGGTGGCTTCTGTCAGTTAAAAAATTGTACACAAAATGCGTTAAAAGCACAGAAAATTTTCTAATACATGTATCTTTTTTTAGGAATAAGGAAAAATCCTGGGGGCCCCTTTTTTGTTTATCAAAGAGTTTAAAAGAATCTTAGGGGCCCCTACTGTGTTTTTTTTAAATAGTGTATTTTGTTTTAGAAAAAAATTGACGAGAATTTCTAGAGGAAAATTTCGAACAATTAATGCCTCTTTTTAAGAAAATTAAATTACTGCAGGAAGGTTTCAGATAAAATGTAATTTTATTTACGCAAAGTTTAATCATCCCTGAAGGGCAACAATGAGAAGATGAAATGAATTACCAGAAGTTTTAGTTTTTGGTAATGTAAAATCCTTCTTTTATTTTAGAACGAAGAAATTGGTTCACCGAAAGGGAGAAGGGGTGGGTGGGTGGGGCTGTTTTTAATCTACACAATTATTTAGATCAAAGTTGCCTCTGAAGTACAACTAATACACCCTGTAGAAGATAATATCAAAATATCGAAAAGTAGAAATTTTTCAAAATTGCAAGAATTATAGGTATTTTCAAAATATCATAAAAGTACCCCGAAATTTTTTTCGCTTTGAAATCCTCAGCTTTTAATAAATTTTAAAATGCTAATAATAATGCCATCTATCAACTGAAAAAGGTGTTGAAAAGTTAAAAACCCTAAATTTCAAATTCAGTTGGTGAAAAAAAAAAATTTAATTTGAATGGAATGAATTTAGATATTGTACATTTTCAAACTTTGGTGGCTTCTGTCAGTTAAAAAATTGTACACAAAATGCGTTAAAAGCACAGAAAATTTTCTAATACATGTATCTTTTTTTAGGAATAAGGAAAAATCCTGGGGGCCCCTTTTTTGTTTATCAAAGGGTTTAAAAGAATCTTAGGGGCCCCTACTGTGTTTTTTTTTAATAGTGTATTTTGTTTTAGAAAAAAATTGACGAGAATTTCGAGAGGAAAATTTCGAACAATTAATGCCTCTTTTTAAGAAAATGAAATTACTGCAGGGAGGTTTCAGATAAAATGTAATTTTATTTACGTGAACTTTCATCATCTCTGAAGGGCAACAATGAGGAGATGAAACGAATTACCAGAAGTTTTAGTTTTTGGTAATGTAAAATCCTTCTTTTATTTTAGAACGAAGAAATTGGTTCACCGAAAGAGAGAAGGGGTGGGTGGGTGGGGCTGTTTTTAATCTACACAATTATTTAGGGCAAAGTTGCCTTTGAAGCACAACTAATACACTCTGTAGAAGATAATTTCTAGAAATATCGAAAAGTAGACATTATTCAAAATTGTAAAAATTATAGGAATTTTCAAAATATGTATCATAAATATCATAAAAGCATCCCGAAATTTTTTTCTCTTTGAAATCCCCAGATTTTAAAAAATCTTAAAATGTTAATAATAATGCTACGTCTCATTTGAAAAATTGAAATTTGAATGGAATGACTTTAGATATTATATAATTTTGAAGCTTTTTGGTGCCTTCTTTCAGAAAAAAATTTACAAAATGTGTTAAACCCATAGAAAATTGTATAATAAATATTTTTTTAACAATGAGAAAGAATCTTGGGGGGCCCTTGTGTTTTTTTATCAAAGAGTTTAACACAATCTTAGTGTCTTTTTTTAAGTGAAAGAATCTTGGTGCCCCTGCTGTCTCTTTTTTTAAGAATGTACTTTGTTTTTGAAAGCATTTTGAAGAGAATTTCGAGAGGAAAATTTCGAAAAATTACAACTCTGTTTAAGGAAATGAAATTACTGTAGATAGCATGCATATGAAATTTAATCTTATTACAAAGCAATTGGTTCACTGAAATGGAGAAGGGGTGAGTGGGTGGGGCTAACTTTTCTCAACCTACAAAATTATTTAGGTCAAAGTTGCCCCTGAAACACAACAAATATAGAAAGATAATTTCTAAAAATATCAATAACCTGACGCTTTTCAAAACTGAAAAAATTCTTGTATTTTTTAAAATCTCATGAAAAAAATTTTTTCAAATCTTAGAAGTTCTCAAACGTTAATAAAGTTTCAAATGCTAATAACGCTAACAACAATGCTATTTATCAATTGAAAAAGTTTTTTAAGACTTAAAAGTTCTAAATTTCAAGTTAAGTTGGTAAAAACAAAATGAAATCTGAATGGAATGAAATTAGATATTGTATATTTTTGCAACTTTGGTGTCTTCTTTCAGTTAAAAAATATAGCAGAATATGTTAAAACCACAGAAAATTTGTTGGTATATTTTTTCAAGAATGAGAAAGAATCTGGGGGCCCTTGTGTTTTGTTTATCAAAAAGTTTAAGAGAATCTTAGGGATCCCTTGTGTCTATTTTTTAAGAATGTATTTTGTTCTTGAAAGAATTTGGAGACAATTTCGACAGGAAAATTTCGAAAAAATTTGCAACTTTCTTTAAGAAAATGAAATTACTGCATATATGATGCAGATGAAACGTAATTTTATTTACACGAACTTCCTTCATCTCTGAAGTGCAACAATGAGGAGAAGAAATTCATTACTCGAGGTTTTAGATTTTCATAATGTGAAATCCTTGGTTTGTTTTAGAGCAAAGCAATTGGGTCACTTAAATGGAGAAGGGGTGGGTGGGTGGGGCTAACTTTTTTCAACCTACAAAATTATTTAGGTCAAAGTTGCCCCTGAAACACAACCAATATAGAAAGATTATTTCTAAAAATATCAATAACCTGACGCTTTTCAAAACTGAAAAAATTCTTGTATTTTTTAAAATCTCATGAAAAATGTTTTTTCAAATCTTAGAAGTTCTCAAACGTTAATAAAGTTTCAAATGCTAATAACGCTAACAACAATGCTATTTATCAATTGAAAGTTTTTTAAGACTTAAAAGTTCTAAATTTCAAGTTAAGTTGGTAAAAACAAAATGAAATCTGAATGGAATGAAATTAGATATTGTATATTTTTGCAACTTTGGTGTCTTCTTTCAGTTAAAAAATATAGCAAAATATGTTAAAACCACAGAAAATTTGTTGGTATATTTTTTCAAGAATGAGAAAGAATCTGGGGGCCCTTGTGTTTTGTTTATCAAAAAGTTTAAGAGAATCTTAGGGATCCCTTGTGTCTATTTTTTAAGAATGTATTGTGTTTTTGAAAGAATTTGGAGACAATTTCGACAGGAAAATTTCGAAAAATTTGCAACTTTGTTTAAGAAAATGAAATTACTGCATATAGGATGCAGATGAAACGTAATTTTATTTACACGAACTTTCTTCATCTCTGAAGCGCAACAATGAGGAGAAGAAATTCATTACTCGAGGTTTTAGATTTTCATAATGTGAAAGCCTTGGTTTATTTTAGAGCAAAGCAATTGGGTCACTTAAATAGAGAAGGGGTGGGTGGGTGGGGCTAACTTTTTTCAACCTACAAAATTATTTAGGTCAAAGTTGCCCCTGAAACACAACCAATATAGAAAGATTATTTCTAAAAATATCAATAACCTGACGCTTTTCAAAACTGAAAAAATTCTTGTATTTTTTAAAATCTCATGAATAACAATTTTTTCAAATCTTAGAAGTTCTCAAACGTTAATAAAGTTTCAAATGCTAATAACGCTAACAACAATGCTATTTATCAATTGAAAAAGTTTTTTAAGACTTAAAAGTTCTAAATTTCAAGTTAAGTTGGTAAAAACAAAATGAAATCTGAATGGAATGAAATTAGATATTGTATATTTTTGCAACTTTGGTGTCTTCTTTCAGTTAAAAAATATAGCAAAATATGTTAAAACCACAGAAAATTTGTTGGTATATTTTTTCAAGAATGAGAAAGAATCTGGGGGCCCTTGTGTTTTGTTTATCAAAAAGTTTAAGAGAATCTTAGGGATCCCTTGTGTCTATTTTTTAAGAATGTATTGTGTTTTTGAAAGAATTTGTAGACAATTTCGACAGGAAAATTTCGAAAAAATTTGCAACTTTCTTTAAGAAAATGAAATTACTGCATATAGGATGCAGATGAAACGTAATTTTATTTACACGAACTTTCTTCATCTTTGAAGCGCAACAATGAGGAAAAGAAGTTCATTACTCGAGGTTTTAGATTTTCATAATGTGAAATCCTTGGTTTGTTTTAGAGCAAAGCAATTGGGTCACTTAAATGGAGAAGGTGTGGGTGGGTGGGGCTAACTTTTTTCAATCCACAAAATTATTTAAGCCAAAGTTGTCCCTAAAACACAACCAATACACCCTATAGAAGGATAATTTCTAAAAAATCGAAGACCAGACATTTTTCAAAATACCAAAAATTTATTAGAAAGTTCAATAAATCTTAGAATGTGAATCATTAAAATTAATTAATTGCCAAATTTCCGTTATAATAATTTTGATAAATATTTTAAAGGAACTTTAGTACTACTTAGGTTGGCAAAAATTTGCTTTAATGTCTCTTAAAGTAACGAACAATCAAAACGAACAATAAAAAAATTATGCACTCTAAAGAAAGCATTTTTAGACTTAAGCAAGCTCCTAGTGTTTCTTTATATAATTCTCCCCCAAATGTAAAATAATAATTATGTAAATAGTTTTTTTGAAATGATAAAGTCAAATGTCGTAAATAAGTGTAAATTTAGATTTTTAATACTGAAAAGATTTGGGTTTTTGCAGTGTAGTTTTTATCGCGGATTTAGAATTGTGTCCTCAAAACTACTTTAATTGATAAAAAAAAACCTACACCCCTGATTAAACCATCAAAACAGGAAACACCTTTATAAATTCACAAAACTTACATAACTTACCAAAGGCGATGACATATTCCCGTCCCTAAACGACGACACCTGCCCATTATCCTTATGCATCCTCGAAATTGGCCCATATTTACTAATCGCTGGCGAATCGTACGGCACGTAGTCGTCATCAGCGGCCAGAATCGAATCCGACCTCACGAACGTCGGCCCGCTGTTGACGTGCCCCGTCCAGAAGGTGTACGGCGACGTGGGGCTATCAAGGTCGTGCTGCGACTCCTGCCTCGCCATGCTCGTCGCGTTATGCGAAATCGCCGTCGCCGCGTTCTTCCCCACCACCTTCTCCAGCTGCGACAGCACCTCCTGCTTCCTCTGGTGCAGCTCCGCGAGGCTCTTCGTCGACGACCGCTTGGTGCTCGGCATCACGTTCTGGTTCTTGCTGATCACGTTGTCCCAGTTGGTCCTCTTATCCGCGTTTTGGTTGCTCTGGTGGCCGATGTTCGTGTAGTCGGTCTGCTGGGGGTAGAACTGGTCGTTGTTGGTCAGGACGATGTTGGGCGGCGCTGTGGAGTAGACTTCGTGCGAGTAGGGTGTGCCGGTTTGGGCGTACATGGGCTGGGGGGCGTACGGAGGCAGGTTGTGGTTGAAGGCCACGTCGTAGCCGATTCGCTGGATTTGGACGACGGCCGGGATGGGAACGGGACTGACGGTGGCGGTGTTCGGCATGGAGTAGTAGTCTTCGGTTTGGGGGTAGACTTTCTCGGTGGGGGATTGGCTGTCGATTCGGTGCTCTTTGTTGCGGATGATGGTCTTGCGGTTCTTGGCGCGGTATCTGCAAGAAGGAAAATATTTTTGTGAGTGTTTTTGGAGCCGTTGTGGATTGCGTTTTCTTTTATTTTAATGGAATTTAGTGTGGCGAATTTACCCACCGATTTAACTCAGTATTATCATCACATCAAAAATCGCGTCATCTTACAATTTTGTCGAATAAATGTTCTCCAATTTTTCGTTTCAATGTCTCGATTCTTCAAATTATCGATTTCTCGATTAATCGTTTTCTTGACTCCCCATTTCTCGATTTTTCTACTTCTCGGTGTTTCAATTTTTCGATTTCCTGATTTTTTGATTGTTCAATTTCTCGATTTTCCATTTTAAATTTTACAATTTTAAACTTTTTGATTTCTCGATTTTTCAATTTTTGGCGCTTCTAAACTTTTAATTTTTCGACTTTTCAATTTTTCAGGTTTTTAATTTCTTTTTTTCGATGTTTTAGACTTTTCAATTTTTCGATTTTTTACTTTCAATTTTTCGTATTTACAATTTTTAGATATTTTAATTTTTCAATTGTTAAAATAGCAATCTTCCATTTTCCTATGTTTTAGTTTTACGATTAATTGTTTTTTTGTTGTTTTAATTTTTTAGTTTTTTGATGTTTTGATTTCTCGGTTTTAGTTTTTCGGTTTTTCAATTTTTCGATTTCCCGATATTTTGTTTCGATTTTTGATCGTTAAATTTTTCGAATTTTAGATTTTTTTCATTTTAACTTTTGCGATTTTTCAATGTTTCGATTTTTCAGTTTCTCGATTTTGGGTGTTTCGATTTCCCAATTTTTCGACTTTTCGATTTTTTGATGTTTGAATTTTCCGATGTTCCAGTTTTACGATTTCTCGATTAATCGTTTCTTTGATTTTCCCATTTCTCGATTTCTCAACTTCTCAATGTTTCGATTCTTAAATTTTTTGATATTTTGATTTTTAAAATTGTAGATTTTTCGATTTTTCAGTTTTTGCCGTTACGATTTCTCGATTTTTCGACTTCTCGGTTTCGATTTTCGCCTATTCGGTTTCCCAATTTTTCAATTTTTGGCGCTTCTAAATTTCCAGTTTTTCGATTTTTCATTATTTTAACTTCTATTTTTCGATGTTTCAGATTTGGGATTTTTCAATTTTTGATTCTTCAATTTTTCGGCTTTCCAATTTTTCGAGTTTTTCATGTTTCGATTTTTCAGTTTTTTGCTGTTTCGATTTTTCGAATTCTCGGTTTTAGTTTTTTCGGTTTTTCAATTTTTTGATAGTTCAATTTCTCGAATTTTCGATTTTTTTCATTTTAAATTTTACAGTTGGTAACTTTTGGATTTTCGCCTATTTCGATTTCTGAATTTTTCAACTTTTGGTGCTTCCAAATTCTCGATTTTTCAATTTTTCGGTTTTTTGATTTTTTAATTTTTAGATTTTTAACATTTTTGATTTTTCAGTTTTTAATTCCTTTTTTCGATGTTTCAGTTTAGGGATTCTTCGATTCTTCAATTTTTTGGCTTTTCAATTTTTCGAGTTTTTGATGTTTGGATTTTTCAATTTTTAAATTATTAAGTTTTTAACTTTCCAGATTTTTGCTGCTTCGATTTCTCGATTTAGGATTTTTCAATTTTTAGACATTTTAATTTTTCAATTTTTGAAGTTTCTAAATTTTCAATTTTTCGATATCTCTATTTCTCGATTTTTCAATGTTTCGATTTTTCAATTCTACAATTTTCGGATTTTTAAAATTTTCGATTTTTTATTTTTGGCGATTTTTCAATTTTTCGGATTTTCAACTTTTCGAGTTTTTGATGTTTGGATTTTTCAATATTTAAAATATTAAATTTTTTAAATTTTCAGTTTTTTGCTGTTTCGATTTTGGATTTTCCGCTTTTTCAATTTTTAGATATTTTAATTTTTCAATTTTAGACGTTTCTAAATTTTTATTTTTTTAATTTGCCTATTTCTCGACTTTTAATTGTTTCCATGTTTCAATTCTTCAATTTTCGATTTTTTATTTTTGGGATTTTTCAATTTTTCAGATTTTCAACTTTTCGAGCTTTTGATGTCTGGATTTTTCAATTTTTAAAATATCAAATTTTTTAACTTTTCAGTTTTTTGCTGTTTCGATTTCTCGACTTCTCGATTTTGGATTTTTCGCTTTTTCAATTTTTAGATATTTTAATTTTTCATTTTTTTAAAATTGTAAATTTTTCGATTTCTCAATTGATTTCGATGTTTCGATTTTTTTCAATTTAAATTTTACAATTCTAACTTTTCGATTTCTCAATTTTTCAATTTTTGGCGTTTCTAAATGTTCAATTTTGAGATTTTTCTATTTCTCGACTTTCAATGTTTCGATTTTTCAGTTTTTTAATTCCTTTTTTCGATGTTTTTCAAAACTATTTGGGATTTTTCAATTTTTCGATTTTTTAATTTAGATATTTTAATTTTTCAATTTTTAAAATATTAAATTTTTCAGTTTTCTGCTGTTTCGATTTGTCAATTTCGTAATTTTTGAGGTTCCTAATTCTTCTTTTTTTCCATTTTTCAATTTATTAGGTTTTTGATTTTTCAATTTTTAATTTATTAAATTTCCGATTTTTCATTTTTTTTTAACTGTTTTTTTTCGATGTGTCAGTTTTGGGACTTTTTAATTGTTCCGATTTTCAACTTTTCGAGTTTTTGATGTTTTGATTTTTCAGTTTTTAAAATATAAATTTTTTTAACTTTTCAGTTTTTTGCTGTTTCGATTTCCCGACTTCTCGATTTTGGATTTTTCGCTTTTTAGACTTTTAGATATTTTGATTTTTTATTTTTTTAAATTGTAAATTTTTCGATTTCTTGAGATTTCGATGTTGCGATATTTTGATCGTTCAATTTCTGGATTTTTCGATTTTTTTTCACTTTAATTCTACAATTTTAACTTTTCGATTTTTCAGTTTTTCACGTTTCTAAATTTTCAATTTTGAGATTTTTCCATTTCTCGACTTTTCATCAATGTTCCGATTTTTCAGTTTTTCAATTCTTCAATTTTTCGTTTCTAATTTCTTTTTTTCGATGTTTCAGTTCTGGGATTTTTCAATTTTTATTTTTTGGGATTTTTTTAAAATTGTAAATTTTTCGGTTATTAAAATTATTGATTTCCAGATTTTTTAATATTTCGATGTTTCGATTTTTTTGATCGTCCAATTTCTCGAATTTTCGACTTTTTTTCATTTTAAATTTAACAATTTTAACTTCCCAATTTTCGTCTATTTCGAATTCTCAATTTTTCAATTTTTGGCGTTTCCAAATTTTCAATTTTGCGATTTTTCTATATCCCGACTTTGTATCAATGTTTCGATTTTTCAGTTTTTCAATTCTTCAATTTTTCAGGTTTTTGATTTTTCAATTTTTAGATTTTTAAAATTTGCGATTTTTCGTTTTTAATTGTTTTTTTCGATGTTTTAGTTTTGGGATTTTTCAATTTTTCGGCTTTTCAATTTTTCGAGTTTTTGATGTTTCGATTCTTTAATTCTTAGAATTTTTTATTTTCCAATTTTTAAAATGTGTATTAAATGTTTTGATTTTTCAGTTTTTTGTTGTTTCGATTTCACGACTTCTCGATTTTCGATTTTTCGGTTTTTCAATTTTTAGATGTTTTTGTAAAATTTTTAAAATTGTAAATTTTTCTGTTATTAAAATTATTGATTTCCAGATTTTTTAATATTTCGATATTTCAAATTTTTGAGATTCGATGTTTCGATGTTTTTCATTTTAAATTTTACGATTTTTAACTTCTCGATTTTCGTCTATTTGGAATTTTCATTTTTTCAATTTTTTGCGTTTCTAAATTTTCAATTTTTCAATTCTTCAATTTTTCAGGTTTTTGATTTTTTAAATTTTTTTAATTTTGGCCTTTTCATTTTTTAACTGCTTTCTTTTCGACGTTTTAATTTTGGGATTTTTCAATTTTTCGAGTTTTTGATGTTTTTACAGATTTTCATTTTTCATTTTTTTTTAATTGAAAAGTTTTCGATTTTTAAAATATTCTATTTCCAGATTTTTTAATATTTCGGTTTTCCAATTTTTCGATGTTTCGATTTTTTGATCGTCCAATTTCTCGAATTTTCGACTTTTTTTCATTTTAAATTTTACAATTTTTAACTTCTCGATTTTCGTCTATTTGGAATTCTCAATTTTTTAATTTTTGGCGTTTCTATATTTTCAATTTTGCGATTTTTCTATATCTCGACTTTGTGTCAATGTTTCGATTTTTCAGTTTTTCAATTCTTCAGTTTTTCAAGTTTTAGATTTTTTTAATTTTTGCTTTTTCATTTTTTTAACTGCTTTCTTTTCGACGTTTTAATTTTGTGATTTTTCAATTTCTCGGGGATTCATTGTTGTTTTGATTTTTCACTTTTTAGATTTTATCAAATTTTGGACTCGTCATTATTTAACTTTTTTTCAATTTTTCGATTCTTCAATTTTTCGGCGTTTCAATTTTTGGAGTTTTTGATGTTTCGATTTTTCAACTTTTAGATATTTTAATTTTTCAATGTTCCAGTGTTTAAAATTTTTTGATTTCTCAATTTATCGATATTTCGCTTTTTCGAAAAGCATCCGTTACTTCCCGAGCATAAGCTAGGAATCGAGTCCATCGGGCGACTTGCCAGTTTAATGTTTTCTCAACGTTTCATGACCCCTAGAGTACGAACAAAAGTGCTCTCCCGTTTCCGTCTGTCTGTCCGTATGTGTCAATTTTTATTTTTTTATTAGACAGATAATCTCCGAAGCTACTGGACTGATTATTGTCAAATTTTGTACGTACATTAAAACTATTATATAAATGGAAAAACACTAAACAAAATCTGGTTAATCATCCCCATCACCATTAGGATGACGTCATCTCTAAAATTTTACAACAGCATTTTGTAAATCTTTAATCAAAATTCATTCGTTTATCCCTTTATTTTATTGAATAAATCAGGAACAGCAGAATCGAAGGCTTAGAAATCTTCTGGTTTTAAAACGGACCGTCGTACTCTAGATTAAATAGTAGAATCAGGTAGTAAAAAACGTTGGCAACCCGTTAAACAAGTTCCAAGATTAAACAGTCGTCACAATTTCCTCAAAGAACGTATTTTTTAAAAACAATAAAACACAACCAACAAAACGTCAAACGACCGTGGTAATTTCCATTCCCCAATTGAAACCAATAATGACATAACAGTATTCAAGTATTTGCATAAGTAGACCCACTTTAGAATAAACACGCTATTTTAACACGTTTTCTGTGTCTTTAGCCACCACCTGCTGTCACAGTTGCAAAATTAATTCACAGAAATATTATTTCAATTTGAAACAACAACAAAAAAATACTTACTTTTCTAGTTCTTCATTAGAATGCGCAAACGTGCAATTAGTGCCCCTCGGACAGTTCCCCCTCAACGTTAAATCTCGGCACATACTAATTTTATATTTGGCGTGTTGGGAATGGGTAGTGTCTTGTAATTTTCTACTTCCATGCTGATGGATGAATTCTACTAGGCCTGCTACTACTAGGCGGACCGCCTCCAGGGCCTCGCTACACTCTTTCCAAGTTGGCGTAGATGATTCTGAAACAATGTAACTTGTTGAGAAAAAATCCTTTAACACATTTACCAAAAAGGATTTTAATTTAGAGCGACTAGAAAAACCGGTTCGATTTAAATACAATTTCGCAACAGAAAGCCAAACTTGTAATCATCATCATCATCACTTAACATGTGTAATCCTGTAATTAATGTTTCTAAGTAGCTTACACTTTTTTTAAATTGATTAATATTTTTTTAACCGAGGTGCAACAAGTTAATTACAGTTATATTTTACGACCTAGCTTGTATTTTCGCCCGACAACGCCCCTTCTAGATTAGTTGATAGCAGTTCCACCGAACTAAAAAAGGCTGGGTTCAATTTCCATAACCATGTCATAAAAACAAATTTTATTGTTATGTACTTCGACCTCAAACATGCGTTTAACCTTTGCTTTCGTATCAAACGACATTACCACCGGACAAGATAGGTACTCTAAATTCGAACCCACATTTAATAACCGAGCTGTGAAAAGATGGCTCTTATCTCACCCGACAATAAAGCGTGGAAAAATCGATGCTTTCTAAAACCCGATCTAAACACGCCCGAACGTAAATTTTTCTAAAACGCGCCACTAAAAATAAATCCGAATTAATATTGTAAAAGTTAAAGTCCCGAACGGAACAACGCCGGGATTTATTGCTTCGGGGCGATTTATTGAATAATTGATGTGACAAACAAAAACAATAAAGTTCGTCATCCGTTTCGATTGCTAAAATCGTGACTCGATAAAGCAGGAAAAGTGCTTTTATCAAATAATCCGACGCGACTTATCTACCGCACACGGAATTATTTGTTCTTGGAAAACGTGGCCGAATATTCCATTAATTAAACCGCATTTCCATACAACTAATAAAACCATAAAAATTCATGGCGTTTCGTGAATAAATTAAGAGCGTGTGCGAAGGCGCCCGATCTAGTCGCAACCAGAAACGGAAAATCACCAAAATAATAATCTGCGTTTCGCGGAATCTTCCAGTCGTTAAAAACGCACTATTTCGTAGTTGATTAGATATTTTGAATCGCAGAAAAACAATCTGTGGACCCTTGAGATCGACACAGTTATTCGTGGTTTGAATTTCACTTCCTGAGTGTGACTGTCATCCCCACCACCAACGGGATGACGTCGTCTTCAAAATTTTCAATAATAATGTTTTTAAATTTTATAAAATAAGATAATATTGCACTTGTGGCGTATGACTTTGTGTTGAGACATGTACATTTTTGGAAAAATAATAAAAATAACTTTGAAGCTGCAAAACCGAACGCTCCAAAAGCTTGCAAACGTTTTAAGGTTATCGTAATCATGGTGAATCGTAAATCAAAATTTATTCGTTTTCCCCTTCACAATCGATGACGTTATCTCAAAATTTTGGCTAATAAATCGTCTCTGAAATACGCAAAATATTATGACCTGTGGTTTATCAATGCACTCATAGTCTTTAGAATTACTTACACAGGGTGGCTCAAAAAAATTAATGAATGAGGCGTTCTTTTTATTTTGTTCCATTTTTCGTTTATTCAACTTTAAATTTTTTAATTTTTCATTTTCTCGATGTTTCAAATTTTGTAATTTTTCGTTTTTTCAATTATTTGTTTTGTAATTTTTCGATTTTTAAATTTTTCGTTTCCTTAAATTTTCAAGATCTTAATTTTATTTTTCATTTTCCCGCTTTTTAATTTCCTTTATTTTTTCAATTTTATAATGTTTCATTATTCAATTTTTTAATTTCGCAATTTTTGGATTTCCAATTATCCGATTTTCCTGTTTTTTCAATTTTCAATATTTCGATTTTACAACACAGTTCCTTTTTTCGATTTTTAAATTTCTCAATTGTTAATTTTTCGATTTTATATAACAATTTTTCGTTTTTTCATTCTCTTTATTTTTTCGATTTTATAATTTTTCGTTTATTCAATTTTTCAATCTTTCATTTTTAATTTCTCCATTTTCCAATTTCTAAATTTTTCAATTTCGCAATTTTTGGATTACCAATTATTGGATTTTCCGGTTTCTTTAATTTTCGATATTTCGATTTTACAGTATACATTTCGTATTTTCGATTTTGCACTTTTTCGATTATTAAGTTTCTCAATTTTAATTTTTCGTTTTTCAATTCTTCGTGCCCTTAAATTTCCAAGTTCTTGATTTTAGTTTTCAGTTTCCCGATTTTTTAACTTTCATTTTCTCGATTTTACATCACAATTTTTCGTTTTTTCATTTCCTTTATTTTTTCAATTTTATGATTTTCCGTTTATTCAATTTTTTTAATTTTCAGTCTTTGATTTTTAATTCCCCGATTTTCCAATTTCTAAATTTTTCAATTTCGCAATTTTTGGATTTCCAATTATCCGATTTTCCTGTTTTTTTAATGTTCAATATTTTGAATTTACAATACACAGTTCCTATTTTCGATTTTGTCCTTTTTCGATTTTTAAATTTCTCAATTATTAATATTTCGATTTTACGTCACAATTTTTCGTTTTTTCATTTCCTTTATTTTTTCAATGTTATAATTTTTCGTTTATTCAATTTTTCAATCTTTGATTTTTAATTCCGCGATTTTCCACTTTCAAAATTTTTCAATTTCGCAATTTTTGGATTACCAATGATTCGATTTTCCGGTTTCTTTAATTTTCGATATTTTGATTTTACAGTATACATTTCGTATTTTCGATTTTGCACTTTCTCGATTTTTAAGTTTCTCAAATTTTAATTTTTCATTTTTCAATTCTTCGTGTCCTTAAATTTCCAAGATCTTGATTTTAGTTTTCACTTTTCCGATTTTTCAATTTTCATTTTCTCGATTTTACATCGCAATTTTTCGTGTTTTCATTTCCTTTAATTTTTCTATTTTATAATTTTCCGTTTATTCAATTTTTCAATCTTTGATTTTTAATTCCTCGATTTTCCAATTTCTAAATTTTTAAATTTCGCAATTTTTGGATTACCAATTATTTGATTTTCCGGTTTCTTTAATTTTCAATATTTCGATTTAACAGTATACATTTCGTATTTTCGATTTTTCAATTCTTCGTTTCCTTAAATTTCCCAGATCTTGATTTTAGTTTTCACTTTTCCGATTTTTTAATTTTCGTTTTCTCGATTTTATATCACAATTTTTCGTTTTTTCATTTCCTTTATTTTTTCAATTTTATAATTTTTCGTTTATTCAATTTTTCAAATTTTCATGTCAGTCTTTGATTTTTAATTCCTAGATTTTCCAATTTCGCAATTTTTGGACTACCAATTATTCGATTTTCCGGTTTCTTTAATTTTCAATATTTCGATTTTACAGTATACATTTCGTATTTTCCATTTTTTGGTTTCTCAATATCTCAATTTTTAATTTTTCGTTTCTTTAAATTTTCAAGATCTTGATTTTAGTTTTCACTTTCCCGATTTTTTCATTCTCATTTTCTCTATTTTATATCACAATTTTTCGTTTTTTCATTTGCTTTATTTTCTCAATTTTATAATTTTTCGTTTATTCAATTTTTCAAATGTTCAGTCTTTGATTTTTAAATTTCTAAATTTTTCAATTTTACAATTTTTGGATTTCCAATTTTCCGATTTTCCTATTTCTTTAATTTTCAATATTTCTTTTTTAAAATACACATTTCGTTTTTTCGATTTTGCACTTTTCTGATTTTTAAGTTTCTCGATTTTTAATCTGTCCATTTTTCAATTTTTAGACTTTTCGTTTTTCCAATGTTTCCATTTTTTTATTCGAAAGGTTGAAAAAACGAAAAATTGCTAAATCGAAAAATGCAAATCGAACAACTGAAGAAACGAAAAATTGGAAAGAAATAACAAATGGAATCGAAAAATTAGAAAACTCAAATATTGTAAAATTAAAAATCGAATACAAAAAATCCGAAAACCAAAACATCTTCCGTAAAGACGAAAAATCGAAAAACTGAGAAATCAGGAATATGAAAAATCTATAAGTTAGAGGACGAAACGTCGAAAACTCGAGAAATCAGAAAATCGAAAAGTAAAAAAAAACTGAAAATTGAAAAATCTTCCGGAATGTCGAAAAATCGAAAAATTGGAAAATCAGGAAAATGATAAGTAATAAAAAATGCAAGTCAAAAAACTGAAAACCAGAAAAGCGGAAAAGGCAAAAATTGAAAACTCGAATATCGAAAAATCTAAAACTCGAATGTCGAAAGATAAAAAAATTGAAAATTGAAAAAACGAAAATTCGGAAATCGAAAAATTGAAAAATTAGATATCGAGAAACTGAAAAATCGAATAAATGAAAAGTTTTAAATTCCAATAACAATTAAAAAATGGAATAATTCTAAAATCGTAAAGTTGAAAATGTGAAGCATTCTAAAAATTATAATTATCATTACATGTTTAAAAACATCGAAAAAACGATATTTTGAAAAATCGAGAAATTGAAAAATCTAAAAAAAAATTAAAAATTAAAAAATCTAAAAGTTGAAAAATCGAATACTTGAAAACCGAAAAAGTGGAAAATCCAAAAACTGAAAAATTTCACATTGTAAAAAAGAAAAATATATAATCAGAACATTGGAAAACCGAAAAATTGAAATAGGCAAAAATTGGAAAATCGAAAAACCGAAAAATTTAAAAATGAAAAGCCGAACAGTTGCATGTTGTGATAAAATTGAAGAAACAAAAAAAAGAAATTAAAAATTGAAAAGTGCAAATCGAAAATTTGACGAATCGAAAAATCAAGAAATTCAAATAAAAAAATTCTAAAACTGAAATCAAAAATTGAAGAAACGAAAAATTAAAAAATCTGAAAGTTGAAAAACCGAAAAAATGAAAAACCGAAAAATTCAAAAATCCAAAAATTGAAAATGTTCTTATAGGAAAAATAGAAAAATAATAAACCGAAGCGAAAAAATGAAGATACGAAAAATTGAAAAATCGAAAAATTAATTAAAAATTGAAAATTCGTGAAACTGCAAATCTAGACAATGAACCAAACGTTGGAAAATCGAAAAACTGAAAAATTTAAAAATGAAAACTCGAATGGTTCCAAATTGTTGGATTGAAGAAACGAAACAAAATTAAAAATGGCAAACCGCAAAATTAAAGGAACGAAAAATTGAAGACCCAAAAATTGTAAAATAAAAAAATTATATAACCGTCAAAATTGTAAAGTTGAAAAGTAAAAAAATTAAAAATCGAATATAAAAAATCCGAAAACCAAAAATCCAAAAATTGGGAAATCAGGAAAATAAAAAATCTATAAGTTAAAGGATGAATAATCAAAAACTCGAGAAATCAGAAAATAAAAAAAAAGTTAAAAAAATCGAAAATTGAAAAAACGAAAATTCGGAAATCGAAAAATTGAAAAATTCGATATCGAGAAATTAAAAAATCTAAAAATAGGGAAATAAGAAAATCGAAAAGTAAAAAAAAAATTAAAGTCAAAAGACTGAAAAACGGAAAAACTGAAAAATGGATAAGGAAAAAACAAAAAATTCTAAAATCGTAAAATTGAGAAGGTGAAGCATTCTAAAAAATATAATTATCATTCCTTATTTAAAAATTGAAGAAACGAAATTTTGAAAAATCGAGAAAATGAAAAATCTAAAATGAAAAATTAAATAATCCAAAAGTTGAAAAATTGAAAAACCGAATAATTTAAAAATGAAAAGCCGAACAGTTGCATGTAATAAAATTGAAGAAACAAAAAAAAATAATAATTAAAAATTGAAAAGTTGCAAATAGAAAATTTGAAGAATCGAAAAATTGAGAAATAAAAATAAAAAATTCTAAAACTGAAAATGAAAAATAGAGATCAAAAACTGAATAAACGAAAAATTCAAAAATTCAAAAATTGAAAATGTTCATATTCGAAAAATAAAAAATAATAAACCGAAGCGAAAAATTGCAAATCGAGAAACTGAAGATGTGAAAAAAATGAAAAATTGCAAATGAAAATTTTGAATAATCGAAACAACCACAAAAAAAAAATCAAAAAAGTCTAGAATACGCAAATTGAAAAAGTGAAATATTTTAAAAATTATTATTACATATTTGAATTGAAAAATAGAAATCAAAAAATGAAGAAACGAAAAATTAAAAAACATGAAAATTGGAAAACCGAAAAAATGGAAAACCGAAAAATTCAACATTCCAAAAATTGAAAAAATTCATATTAGAAGAATAAAAAAATAATAAATCGCAGCGAAAAATTGAAATTCGAGAAATTGAAAATACGAAAAATTGAAAAATCGAAAAATTAATTAAAAATTGAAAACTCGTGAAACTGCAAATCTAGAAATTGAACCATTCAAACGTTGGAAAATTGAAAAACTAAAAATTTTAAAATGAAAACTCGAAGGGTTCCATATCGTAAGATTAAAGAAACAAATGGCAAACCGAAAACTTTAAGAAACGAAAAATTGAAATTGGAAAAACAAAAAATCATTAATTGGAATATTAAAATAACGAAAAATTGTAAAAGTAAAGAATATAAAAAACGGAAACGAAAAACTGCAACTCGATAATTTGAAGAAATGAAAAATTATTGAAAAATAAAAAATTAAAAACTCGACAAATTTTAAATCCAAAATTCGTAAGTTGAAGAAACGAAAAAAAATTAAAACTGAAAAGACCAACAAATATAAGATCGAAAAATTGAATAACTGTAAAAAAAAAAGAAAATAAAAAACCGAAACGAAACATTGCAAATCCAAAAATTTGACGAAATGAAACATTAAAGAACCAAAAAATTTAAAAACTAAAATTGGAAACTCCAAAAATTTTAAATCGAGAAATTGCAATATCTAAAAACTGAAGGAACAAGAAAATTAAAAAACTGAAAAATCGTAACTCGAAAAATTTAAGAAACGCAAATCGAAAAATTGAAAAAATTAAAACCGGAAAAAAAAACAAAATTGTAAAATTGAAACATTGAAAAATCGAACAATTTGAAAAATGAAGAAAATAAAAAACGGAAACAAAAAATTGCAAATCGAAAATTTGAAGAAATGAAAAATTAAAGAATAAAAAAAACTGAAAAACGAAAAATTGAAAAAATAAAAAAATTGAAAAACTAAAATTCTAAAACTCTAAAACTCAACAAATTTTAAATCGAAAAATTGCAATATCTAAAAATTGAAGAGACAAGAAAATTAAGAAAAAACTGAAATATAGTAAATCGAAAAATTGAAGAAACGAAAAATTAAAAAAAAAAAATTATCAAATTGAAACACTGAAAAATCAAAAAATTGGAAAAATAAAGAAAATAAACGTAAAACTGCAAATTGAAAAATTAAAAATTGAGAAAATAAAGAAAATAAAAAACCGAAATGAAAAACTGCAAATCGAAAAATTGAAAACTCGATAAACTCAAATTGAAAAATTGCAAAATCAAAAAAATTGAAGGAATCAAAAGTTGGAAAATTGAAAAACTGAAAAATTTAAATTTGAAAACTAGAAAAATTGCAAATCGAAAAAATGAAAATTGAACAATTGAAAAATTCAAGTCCATAAGCTGGGAGTGTTATTTCCGCCACTGGTTTTTACTTTATAGAGGGAATCAAAAAACAAAAATCGCAAAAAAATATATATAATTTTTCAAAGTCCTGTTAAAATAACCTTCGACCAATTTTTACTATATGTGTTAATACCCTGTAAAATTTGTAGTTGTTGGGGGCGCCTACCAAATATTCACATTCATTTATTTACAAATTTACAATTTTACGTTGTTTATGTTTACATTTGGACATCGCCACCACGCATTCGTGTGAGGTCTAATTTTTATTTTATTTTTTGGCAACCTAAACGACCACTATATTCGCCGCTTTATTACTTACCCACACAATATTAATAATAATAATAATAATAACGGTTTATTATACGCACTCATGTTGTTACTTAAAGTACCACACGATAAAAAAAGTCCTCTAGTAAGCAATGTAATTCGTTTTTAAAATGATAATATTGCCAACACAAACGCATAAAATCACTAATAAAATCGAGAAACAACAACGGACCAAATACAAATTTCGCCCACAACTCACCAGGACTCGGGTCGATCCCCGCCAGGAGCTCCAGCGGCGTCCTCAAAACGGACAACTTCCCCGGATCCCCGGTCCTCTGCAGGGCGATGACCAGCTCCTGGACCGATTGAGCAAAAGACTGAGGAGTTTGCAGCTTGTCGATGATGCTCTGCATGTGGGACTTGTGGGCGGTGTCCCCGTAGAGCAGCGCCGACCATTGGTCTGGGGCGATCCTGAGACCCGCTTCGGTTGCAATTTGGACGATTTGGGCGTCGTGCTCGCGACGTAAGGCTTCGTAAGTGCGGAATTCTTCCTTGAGTTGCATCAGGGAGGAGTCTCCTTCGCGTTTCGATACCTGGGGAGCTCGAAAATGAAAAACTGGCGCCCGACCGACCTTCGCGCGCTTACTTTAAAACATGACGCCCTGTAGAGGAGTTGGACCACGTGACCTATGCTAGTCTTCGAGGCTTGCGGAAAGTGGGGTTCCAGGCGCTGGACGACGAACATCACCAGGACCTTCCTCGACAGGGCCGAGCCGTCTTCCAGGGCTAGAAGGACTAGTTTTAACACCTCTTCCTGCATGGCTGCGTGAAATAGAAAGCGTTTTAGTGTTGGAAGGTGAAAATCGTGGGCGTCGGGTCAACCCCACCACCGATTTGATGACGTCACGGTAAAAGTGCTAAGCAAACCTTAGTCAAAATGGCACGATTAAAATTCGAAACAATCGTCAATAAAATGCAGTATACATTACCCTTCAAATTTATTTACATATTTGAAGGCCGCATTAACAACGTTGTGCTGTGGTTAGCAACAATTTTGCCTAGTTTCGACTTAAAAAAAAAAAAAAACTAAAATACTCTAGGTGTAGTCTCAATAAAAATGAACTTAATAATAAATAACAATAAACGATAAAAGGTCACAGAATAACGCAATTTTCTTTTTGTTGCGTAGACATTACGTGATACATTGAATTAAAAAAGTCTGTGTCTTAGAAAAAATGTTTTCTTCTAACCTTGACTCAGAACCGCCTTCATTAAATTTTTATTTATTTATAGTGGCTCAGAATTCATTCTAAAATTATTCAAAATGACTACAAGCTTTGTTGAACCGCCCCAGCTTCCCACAAGCCTACTATTACATTTTTTATAACTCCCTAAACAAATAATCAACGTGTTATGTAACACTCGATGTTTCTATGAATTGTTGATCGTAATAATTTGTACAATGTTTTGTTGTGTTTAATTCAGACAAATAAAACAAACAAAGGAAAATCTTGAGAAATATAAAAAAATTCCAACCTGATTAATTCTCCCGACACGAAATTCTATGTGTGTATAAAGTTTTATGGCTAAACGTGAAAACATTATTTTATGGAAATAAGTCTCGAGAAACACTTCGTTCTTAATCAACCGCAAGTTAGCGCTTCTTCCATTGAGGTTGCAGGTGAACAAACTTTACACTTTGTTTACAAGTGAAAAATTTTAATCATTTATGTTACCGCGAACTGTAACTGAATCCATAAACCATAAAAGCGAATAAACAACGAAAACCCTCAGAACGTACAACAGGTGGATAATTACGGCTTTGAGGACGTTTATTTTCTTATCGGAGTTTTTCCTTTCCATATTTACTGTGAAAACAAAATTTGCAAGCAGATTAACCAACGCCGAAATCTAAACATTTTTTGAAGTTGCTTGGATTCTCGGAATTCGGTCGGTGCGAATTTTTCCGTAGCGACTTGTTTCATGTAAGAGTTGCTTTCCTCGTAGTTTTCCGTCTGTGTGGATTTTTATTACACAGATAGTTCCATCGAAACGCGAACCACAATTTGATTAATCATCCCAGCAACGATTTGATGACGCCCCCACAATTTTTTTCTAATAAACGTAATTTAATAAATCTTAATAACTTGCTCTTGTACTTGTGGTTTATGAATCCGTCTTGAATTTTACACATCATATAGTGATGGTGAACGACGATTCTGTGGCGCCATCAAATTGCATAATTTTTCAGAAAAAATCACACTAAAAAAAATAAATGTTGAAAAAAGCGACAAAAATTGCAAAAATGACTACAAATGCGACTAAAAATATTATAGAATAATGCGAAAAAAAGAAACCAAAAAACACGATTAAAAAAAAAAAAAACGATAACAAAGTTCAAAAAAAAACCTAAAAAAATCAATTCTAAAAAAATACAAAATAGGCCCCAAAAAGAGGAGCGAAAAATGTGTTTAAAAGAGGAGGAAAAAAAGTGACAAAAAAATAGCAATGAAAAAATATAGAAAATGTTCACAAAAAAAGTCTAAAAAAAAATCCGACTTAAAAAGAAACATAAAAGAATAAAATTATATAATCGGAAAGAAAATAAAAAACCGAAACGAAAAATTACAAAACGAAAAACTGAAAATTTGTAAAAACGAAAAATAGAAAAATTTAAAAATGAAAAACTGAAGACTCGAAAAATTGAAAAATAAAAATCGAAAAATTCTAAAACCGTAAAACTGAAAAGGGGAAATTTTTTTAAAATTATTTTTATTATTATTATTACCTACTTAAAATGAAAACTAGAAAAACTGCGAATCAAAAATTGAAGAAAAGAAAAACTAAAAAATCCGAAAGTTGAAAAACTGAAAAATTTATAAATCCAAACATCATACTGAAAAAAAAAGAAAAATTATGAAATCAGAACTTTGAAAAATCCAAAAATTGGAAAAATAAAGAAAATAGAAAACAGAAGAGAAAAATTGCAAATCAAAAAATTGAAGATATGAAAAATTAAAAATCGAAAAATTAATTAAAAACTGAAAACTCGTGAAACTGCAAATCTAAAAATTGAAAGAACCAATAGTTGGAAAATCGAAAAACTGAAAAATTTAAAAATGAAAACAAAATTGAACAATTAAAAAAATTTAAAACTGAACAAAAAAGTTGGAAAAAAGCGTCAAAAATTGCTGAAACGACTACAAAAAAGCGACTAAAAAAAGAAAAAAATCAATTCTAAAAAGAAACAAAGTTTGCCACAAAAAGAGGCGCGGAAACAGATTAAAAAAGAGGAAAAATTGACAACTAAATTCCCGAAAAATAGGTGTAAAAAATCTGACAAAAAAAGACAAAAAAAAACGACAAAACGGCGGCAAACAAGTCCGAAAAAAAGGAGTCAAAAATCCGACTAAAAAAATAACAAATGGGTCAAAAAAATCGAAAAAAAACACAAAAAACCAGAACAAAAAGGGGTCACCAAAAAGGAGACTTTAAAATGCGATAAAAAAAACCAAACAAAATGTTGATAAAAAAAAAAAAACCAAAAATTGCGGACAAAAAAAATCCACAAACATTCGAAAAAGACTTTATAAGAGTAAAAAAGTTGACTTGAAAAAAAAAGGTAAAAAAAAAAAACAAAAAACGACAATAATGGACGATAATGAGAAAAAAAGCAAGAAAAAATAAAGAAAAAAAAAATGGAGGCATCAAAAAGGCGCTAACAAAACGCTATTAAAAAAAATGTTGATCAGAAAAAAAAACGAAAAAAAGCAGACAAAAACAACAGAAAAAAATCAGTTTAAAAAAGAAAAAAAATGAAAGAAAAGGCGACAAAAATTGCAGAAACGCCTACAAACAAGCGACTAAAAAAATTATAGAATATTGCGACAAAAAAAAAAACGATAACAAAGTCCACAAAAACAAATAAATAAAAGAACAATTCTAAAAAGAAACAAAATATGTCACAAAAAGAGGCGCAAAAAAGGCAAAAAAAAGCGACAAAAGAATATAGTAAAATTGAAAAGCGAAAACAAGGCCAAAAGAGTAAATTTATATAATAGAAAATAAAATAAAAAAACCAAAACAAAAAATTACAAATCGAAAATTTGAAGAAACGAAAAACTGAAAAATAAAAAAATTCTAAAAGCCTAAAACTGAAAAGGGGAAAATTTTAAAAAATCATAATTATTATTATTACGTATTTCAAATAAAAACTAGAAAAACTGCGATTCAAAAATTGAAGAAAAGAAAAATTTAAAAATCCGAAAATTGAAATACCGAAAAATTCAAAAATCCAAAATTTGAAAACATTCATCCTGAAAAAAAAAGAAAAATCCGAAAATTGAAAAAATAAAACCAAAGGGAAAAATGGAAGATATGAAAAATTTAAAAATCGAAAAATTAATTAAAAATTGAAAACTCGTGAAACAGTAAATCTAAAAACTGAAACCTCCAACAGTTGGAAAATCGAAAAACTGAAAAATTTAAAAATGGAAACTCGTAAAATTGAAATTGGAAAATTAAACAAGAATAAAATCCGAACATTTAAAATCGAAAAATTGTCAAAATAAAGAAAAAAAAAGTTGGAAAAAACCGACAAAATTGCTGAAACGACTACAAAAAAGCGACTAAAAAAATTATAGAATAATGCGACAAAAAAAAAAAAAAAGAAACAAAAAAAGGCGATAATAAACTCCACAAAAAATCTACAAAAATCAATTCTAAAAAGAGACAAATTATGGTACAAAAAGAGGCGTGGAAAATGTGATTAAAAAAGGTGAAAAAGACAAAAAAGGCGGTAAAAAAAAGCAAACAAGGCCAAAAGATGCCTAGAAAAATCTACACATAAAATTGGCGATAAGAAAACGAAAAAAGGAGGACACAAAGTCCACAAAAAATCCAACTAAAAAAAAAAAGAGCGAAAAAAGGCAGACAAAAAGGTCGCAAAAAGACGACAAAAAAGGGCGATTAAAAATGACAAAAAATGTAGAAAAAAAAGATAAAAAGGCGACAATTAAGTCCAGAAACATATGTAAAAAAGTGACCAAGAGACGCAAAAAAAATTGCTATAAGAAAAGCTACAAAAAAAAAACCGAAAAGCTAACGAAAACAAAAGAAAATGAAATAAGCGAAAATATAGCGACAGAAATGCACCGAAAAAGTAAAAAAAATTCGACTGAAATAGACACAAACAAGCCCAAAAAAGGCGATAAAAAACGCAAGAAAAAAATTGTAATAAAACTGACGACAAAAAATACAAAAAAAAATGAAACAAAAAATCCTACTAAAAAAGAGATAAAAAATGTTAAAAAAAGGAAAAAGTCGCAAAAAAGACTACAAAAAAAAAAAAATGTCAGAAAATTGCGACAAAAAAAAAAGATAATAAGACGATGAAAAAGGAGTCAATTAAGTTCATAAAAGCGGGCGCAAACCAATGACAAAAACAAGTGTTGACAAAAATTTCAAATGTCGAAAAAAGAAAATCGCTATTAAAAAAAAGCTACAAAAAAACGAAACAGGACAGAGAAAAATTAAGAAAAAAAAAAGTTGAAAAAAGGACAAAAAACAACACAAAATACATAAATTTCAACAACAAAAAACAAAAATGGCGACAAAAAAGCTAAAAAGTGGGGACAAAAACTCCACAAAAAAAGACCAAAGAAAAAACGACGAAAAAGGGCCCAAAAAAGCGACAAAAGAAGTCGTAAATAAAATACAAAAAAAAAAACCGAAAAAAGACAAAAAATTTTAACAAAAAAAAAGGCGACTAAAAAAATGTGAAAAGTAAGGTGGTTAATAAAGGAAAAAAAAAGGGCCAAAAAGGGGAAAAGCGAAAATGGATATAAAAAAGCAACGAAAAAAATGTGACACTAGAAAATGAACAAAAAGCAGAAGGTGCCAAAGAAGTCAAACCAAAAACGTATAAAAAAGCCCAAAAAAGTCGGAACAGGACCAAAGGGCGACAAAAAAACAAGTCATAAAAATAGAACAAAAAAAGCCAAATTGAACCCCGTTGAAAAAAGTGACAAAATAAAACAGAAAAAAAAAGATTACAAAAGGCAACTAAAAATGGACAAAAAAAGGCGACTCAGAAAAACGCGACAAAGCAGCAAAATTCTGAACTGACCCCAAACGAAAAAATCTACACGATATTCCTAAACTTTTACGAAATTAGTCTAGTAGTTTTGGTGATTATCTGTCAATTAACGGCGCCAGACGACACAGCCACAAATGGGCGACCCACTTTTTCATACTCTAGGGGTTACGAAACGTCGATAACAGACAATTGGCCGTTTGCCGGATGTAGTGTCTCTATTTGTGATACTACAAGGGTTTATGGCCTCACTAAACTTCCTAATGGGATGTTGTAATTCCTTTTATGCGGTTAGTTACGGGCTCACTCCTAGCGTCATAAATCAAGGATTTGTCTCAATATCTTGCCACCTCAATATTACCTGCTGGGTAATCCGCTTAACCCTTTTTGGTACATTAAAACAACACAAACAAAATTTACACAATACCCTAATTTTACAACAGCCATATAACCTTGTAGTACCTGAGACACCATACCCTATTAGGCTATGGAACCAATAAGTTAGATTTTGCTAAAAGATAACACTGAGTTAATATTTGATTAATGTCGACTAAACTTTATTTATCTAAGTATTCCTCAAAAAGTTGATGACGTCACCACAAAGATTATTAAAGCAACGTTTATTAGTGCATATGCCTTTAGATACACCGCTGCTTGTGTTTTTGTAATACACTTTTATTTTATAACACAGATTACTTAATTTAATTTAATATTTCTAAAAATGGCAACAATGCAATGTGCCATATGTTACACTGTAGATAGATATCTAAATTAATATGTTAATCCTCATAAAAAATGTATATTTGAAAATAATAATAATAATAATAATAGCATTTGTTGTGCTTCAAAAGTAGGTAAATACCGCTTACATAACTTGGCAGATTTCATCACAACTGTGTAAATTCCGGAATGAAGTAATTTTATAAAAAAAAGTCATCTCCATAGGAAACAATGTTAAGTAAAGAGAAATTAGTTCACAATTTTCCACGTTTTAAAACCACATCTGTTATCTTATTAATGTAACTTTCGTCTTATTAAAGACCGTCAAGGTGCCCGATTTCGGTTTCCCTTTATAAATAACAAGTAGTAAGCCGAACTGTCTTACCTGGTCCCAGAAACTGGCACCCCCTGGCCCTCACCGCCGCCCACAGGTTCGCCGAGAGCTGCTGCGGGTTCTGGTGCTGCAAAATCAGCTCCGTCACCGTCCGCTCCCCCAGCGACCTTGCCGCCCTCATCGCCCTCGTCCTGCCCTCATCCTCCACCAGCTGGCAGTTGATCAGCGTCACCAGCTTCCGCTGCATCGGCCTCGACAGAATGCTCCCGCTCCCGCACACGTTCCCGTTCGGATGGGGCTTCAGGTACATCGCCAGCTCCTCGACGCACTTCCTCGAGTCCTGGTAGTACGCCACGTTGTCCCTCGACACGATCTTCTGGTCCACCGCGTCGTCATCCTTCTTGATCAGGGGCCCCACCAGCTGCAGCAGCGCCGTGTTCACCGGCAGACTCTCAATGTCGATGCTGATGGTGGTCTGGTCGAAGGGGCACTGCTTCCGGTGCAGGTTGGACAGGCAGGTCTTGCACACCGTGTGCCCGCAGCCCAGGCTGATGGGGCTCCGGTGGGCGACGTCAAATGCATTGCAGCAAACGGGACAAGACAGGAACTCCGTCCACTGTGGAGCCTGAATTGGCATTCTGCGAAGGTTATTCGGTTGTAGCTTGGGGGTTTATTAGATTAGTGCCTGGCATCATCACTTGTCAGATCAGGTGATGACACTTGCTGCCACTGTGGCACTTGTGGGGGGGCGAATGGGGCTGGTGCGACTGAGGGGGTTCACGGGGCGAAAAAGGGGCTTCGGGATTTGTGGGGACCGAATTGGCTTTGTGGGATGGGAATTGCTCACATCATCACTTGTCAAAATCAGGTGATGACACTTTTGGTGCCAATGTGGCAATTCGGGGGGCGAAGGCTTTGGGGGGTGGGAGAGGCGGGGGCGGCTGGGGGCGACGGGGACGGTAGACGAGGGCTTACCTTACTTAATCTACAAGAGAACATCACATCATGAAGCACCACCAGACATCACAACAATGTTGTGAAATCTTCTCGAACGTCATACGTCAATGAGAAGGTGATCGCACTCTGCGCACTAGACATACCGATCATTTTCCATAATACGTGTTGCGCACTGTTGGCGGCGATTGGGTGGCTTAATCGGGGGGATTTCGTGGATTTTGGCCAAAACAATGGAAATTTCGGAGAAAATGGAGAGATTTTCGGTTTTTATTTATTTTTTCGGTTGACATAAACATTTGGTTCGGTGGAGTGGGGCTGAGAACGATATGCAAATATGTACAGAGTGATTCATCACAAATTTCCAACACGTTATTACGAGTACATATTTGTTTCCATTGATAATCGAATTTAAGGTCGACGATAAGTTTTCAAGTGTATGTTCAATGTTCAGTACATGTTAAATCTATTTTAGGGACGGGCCATTTATAAGTACAAATGGAATGCAAAACGAATAAAAAATAATCGGTATCACACTAGAACTACAAAATTAGATAGAAACTTTTTTATAAATTAATCAAATATAACTTGAGAATGCCTTAAATTAAGTTCAATTAATTTTTTTAATGATCATCAGACCGTGCGTTACGAGTCTATTATGACGTCATCGACTTTATTAATGGAAGTGTACCAGGTGTTCTACCACCCTTTTTCCATTAATTAATTAGCCAATAACACGTGACGTCATGTTGTGGCGGGAACTCAGCGTTTGACAAGCGCCGTGAAACTCCATAAGCGACAATGTTAACATTTTCGCATTTTATTTAAAAGTGTGGGTATTTATTTAGAAAATAAACACGTGAATAGCTCCTTTCATATCTTTTCTGTGTGTCAGGGTGCTTTTTTTGGCGATTTGAGTTTAGAAATACATAACAAAAATAAAAATACAGAACACTGTTTTGATCTGAATTCCTCGTCATCCAAAATACATCCGTGTGTTTTAAGCGGGAAATTGTAAATTAATATTTTCGTTTGAGGTTACTGTGACAGGTTTAAGTGAAGGTGTGTGATTTGTTTTTAAAGTATGGATAATAAGTGATTATGCACGATGTCTTTCCGTCGAAGACAAAAACAGATATGTAAAAAAGTTAAACAATTTAAACGGCGTAGATCCTTATACAATGAGTGCAAGTGATTTTAGTTTGTGTTTAGACGATGTCCCTACCATAACAATGAATACCATTCTAAACTTTTTTATTTTTAGAGTAAGTAAAATAACCCCCAATAAAACTCGTGCCTTCAAAAGTCTAGAGACATTTATTCAGTTTTCTCTTTTTTAAACAACTGTGCCTTTCAACATTACAAGTATTATGAGTGGATTTATTTTGATATCCTAAATTTTGTGATGGAACATAATCAGGATGGTCCACATCTGATAAATCTGCAGGTTTACCTAAAAGAGCACCAATGTAGTAATTTGTTAGAAACTGTAAATCTAATAAGTAGGTACTGTACCTCAAATAAAATGATCCGAACAAACATAGGAATACTTTACTTTGGCTTCGTTAAATCCACTCGTTTCAAGGCTTTTAACCAAAGCTTCCACCCTTTTCCCCATCCTGTATATATTTACCTTTATTGTTGCTAATTGCTGCGAAAGGAAAATAAATTTGTCCATATTTCTGGTGCTTCGATTCACGCAACCCACAACAGCACAAAATTTAGGCATTTTCTCCTAAAATACAAAATATTATAATATTAAGATACTAGTGTATATAAAAAACATTGATGTACATTAACAAAGAATTAATTTGCAAAACAAATAATATAAGATGCAGCGAAGTTAACCTGTACATCACATTGGAAAACATTATTTTTTAAGCATAATCAAACGTTATGGTGCGTTTTACAGATATCTACACAGTCTAGAAACTGTAACAAACTTACCAAACTATAAAAACACAGTTGACACTCTCAAATTTAAATGAATTCCGAAAATATTAGTATTGACTCTTATGAGAAAACCGGCTAGTTGTCAAAGCATACGGTATTTGTGCCGAAGAACCTGTATGTATGCGCATGCCTGAGCTGTCACTGAAAAACCCGGTAAATTCAAACGTAGGTGTTTACACTTGTCATTTAAAAAATGTGGCAAATTGAAATATATGTAATCTCATCGAATTACCAAAAGGATTAACCCCCAGTTATCACAACAGAATTTGTATCGAAATGATAAATATAATTCATAATAAGTTGATCATCGTTTGTGTTTGCGTATAACCTGTCTTAAAATTTAATATTAATGTACTTAGGGTCACACCAAAAACTGTATAATCATGCTTTCCTCCAGACATACCTACTTGCATTGAATAACCAACTTAAGTATGTGATTATAACTGTACATGATTGTTGCGTCTTTTACCCAACATAATGAAACTTAATAATACGACTTTAGTTTTTTTTATTAATTAATGTGCTATTTTCAATCAAGCGTAACATACAAAAAACGCGTAAAATAAAAATGTATTTGTAAAAAAATTGTATTTGCTTTATAGAAATAATCTGAATCAACAAAAAATACAACAACAGAATTCATCTTTACCTAACAGAAAAATACATAGTAATAGTAGCAGTAATAAAAATTATAATTACTAAATTGTATAAATAAAATTCTCATCCTATTATTTATAAAGGTGATTCTATGAGGACCTATTAATAACCCATGTCACAAAAATCCACTCATTTCTCTAGTGTTTCTGTAACCAATCAGTTCATAATAATGTTGCTTCATATTTGTCTGTCTCTTACAATTCTGCTTTGATACGTTTCTGTAGAAGGTCTTTCTGTTTCTATTATTTTGTTCCATTCCTTGTCTTCCACTACTCTGTCTAACATATCCAATAATTTCTCTATTGTATTATTTCTCTTCTTATTCAACTCATCATATTTAACAAATTTGTTCAGACTTTCAATTGCCATATTTGTATTGATCCCAGCATTTAGTCTGTAACAGTGAGCCCACATTTTAATACGTTCCATATTCTGAAAATAATGTTTTTTTAAATAATTCAAAAAATTAATTTCCCCCGCTTCAAAAAGTATCTGAAAATAACTGTTGTATAGCTCTTTAAATTTATCTTCATTTGTTTCCTTTAAAATTTTTCCCATCTCGGTCTTCATATTTTTCTTCAATTCTGTATTTTTTAATTTTGCTTTGCCTTGAATGTTCCAATTTTTTATAATATGCCAACTACACAATAAATGTCTTGGTTTTGTTTCCATAACGTTTATCCATGCATTATAATATTTTGGGTCATCATCTGTCATAAAATAGGTGGGACATAATTTTTCACCAACTTTTTTCTTTAAAGCATCTAAAAAAATTTCAAAAATTAACTGATCTTTTCTACTAGACACTAAAAATGCAACGGGAAAACCAACACCCCTATCATCTTTAACTAAAACTGTTGTTAACTCCCATCCTCTAATATTTGTGTTGTGCGTCCCATCCATACAAATAATATTTGTGAATTGTTTCAATTTAGATTCCATCACCTGGTTCATAAAGCCCACTGCAAAATCTTCATCTCTAAGAATGGAATGCCTTTCCCCTACAAGCCAAGCTAAGCATGTGCTAAACAACCAACACCACCAACTACAATCTACATGCATGAATATTTCTCTTAATTCACAGATTTTAAACAAAAATTTTACCTAATTGTAAAAAACCACATGCTAACAAAATAATAATCATATACATTACCAATTTGTTTAAATAAAAATCCATAATTTTGGCCACTTTGATTCCATTCATGCAAAACCTTTATTGTTGTTGCAGCCATATCATCAGCATTTCTAGTTTTTGATAAACTTCGACTCATGTTTCTCAAATCCATTTTTGTTAATAAGTGTAGTCTTTCCAATTTATTCCCTTTAATGGTCCGAGCATCTTTTAATATTCTCTTTTTACATACTTCATTCTTCAATTTTGAATAAATTTCTTGTTTTTCATTTTTTGTCAACCCTTGGTATCTCACCTCATCTTCATGTCCTACATGTGTTTTTATATATTTAATTTTCACTGTTCCTATAAACAATTGATGCAATTAATATACAGTAAAGTGTGCACATAGATAACATACCTTCATCAAAAATTTTTGCAGTGATTCTTGATGGACAAGTACCACAGATTTTCTTGCTACCCCCTGCCTTTGGAAATCTCTTAAATGCTTTACTTTCATAGCCTAAAATGTCCAATAATACAATATATTCTTAACAAATTACAATAATAATGTACCACTGTAGCTTTTGTTGCAGTTATAATATATCAGCTGATAGGGGTAACGCACATCTTTCTTTTGCTTTCGACTAATATATTTAACATCTCTTCGTTCTTCGCAAATCCAATTTTTAATATCTTCATGACTTAGTATCAATCTTCTACCTCTACTGTTATATTATGTTTTTATTTCAAGATGAGTTTTGAGTTCTTCATGGGATTTCAAATTTCTCTCTGGTTCATCCCCACACATTGGACAAAAAATCTTTGTTTTGCAAATCCCACCAACACTTTGATCACGGTGAAAACGCCTAAAATGTCTATTCCTGGAAGTAACAAAATTAAATTGTTTGTCACAGACAGAACACTTTATGGATTCCATTCTGGAAGAATATAGAAAAAGCGCGTTCAGACTATAGTGACAGCAATTAATGATCTTTTGCCTTTCCCGCCTTTTTGTAATGACACTAGGCTTAGGGATTTCTTCAGACCAACTGTTTTTCGAAGTTGGCAGTCCTGAATGTTCTCATGCACAAATACCGTATGCTAGTTGTCAAACGCTGCCATCTTGATGACCTCGGATGACGTCAGTGTATTTGGCTAATTAACAGTCGGACCGAAATTGGGAATTTTTGGACCCCACATCTGTTATTTAAATGTTATGACATGAAAACAGGTTGAAAATTGATTTGAAACGTGAAAATATAAACACAATGAATTTTTTTTAAGAATGTCAGTGATTTTGGGAGCTAGTGTATTAGTGGTTGCATAAGCAGAGACAATTTTAAATTTACCAAGTTTTAGCGATTACAATGGGCCAAAACTCGTACCACGAAAGGAAATCAGTTATTTATGCAAAACGAACTCATATTTTCTGTATTTATTAATTTTTTCTATAAAAATTTCTCCAAGACCCTGTAAAATCACTAGATCATCATCAGGGACTTTTGTTCTTTTTGGTGTCACCTGTGGGTGTCACTAGGGCCAGTCCACAATGACAGATAGGGATGGGCAGATTCGGTCATCAGTACGAACGGATCGTTCATCGTTCGGTCCCTACGAAGACCCGGTCGTCAAATGTCGTTCATTTCGTTCATTTCGTTCATTTCGTTCATTTCGTTCACCGTTCACTTCGTTCTTAATCATTCAAGGCTCAGGGATCTATTGATGAATCATTCGGTCTTTCGGCTCTTCGGTCAATGGTCAAATTAGTTCCCCTTTTGCTTGAATCCGATCACTTTATAGGGAAAGTCATGCTCAGAACTATCGCATAGGTATTCGAAAAAAAAAACCCCGGCCCATTGCTGTCTTATTTTTCGAATACTGCATTGTGTGATACGTCAAATTAAATCGTGTGAAATATACTATGATCTGATTCGAAAAATTAATGATTTAACGTTTATTTGGTTTTGTCTACATTTAATTTTTTTTAATGCCTCCCATTTTTTTAGAGATTCATGTAACGATTTTTTTCTGAATTCTGTGATGTAAAAATAATAATTTAATATTTAAAAAAAGTAACTTGAATTTGTGAACGCAAATAATTGTGTTAATAAATACATCACTAGCACTTTTGACACAAAAATTAAATTCGTTTTTATCACAGCTTCCAAGCAACTTTTGAGTAAAAAAAAATAATTTATTGGATCTTTCGAATCATTCGGTCGTCGCCCTTACGATTAACAATGTAGGAGCAGATTTGTTTTGTTTCCTTTTATACCTTTTCCTTACGTTCTAATGTGATGAAGCCGTGAATAGTCACGTTCATTGATTATATTATACATTACCTTTTTTACGTGGCCATAGGGATTTTTTTTATTAATAATCATTACAATAGTAATAATAATTATTTATTTACATTTATTTTTTTAGTTTCTAATGTTCAGACGTTTATGAACATTGTATATTAGTTATCGTCATAAATTGTCATTTTCGTTCCTGGTTCCTAATTTAAATTCATACTACTGGAATTAATCTGTCGGGAAAACTTATGTTCTTAGTTAATTCCATAAATAGCATAGCATGTGCTCCTAGTATTTGATACAGAACATAGAACTGTGCTGGAGCCATGATTCAAAGATCCAACGGAATCAAGATCCAGTCGAGACAATGTGAACGGTGAACGAGTGAACGAGTGAACGAAATGAACGAAAGAACGACCAGTTTGCGTTGGGAACGATTTCGGTCACTCGTTCATTCGAACGACCCGTTCAATTTGATTCGTTCGTTCGCGAACGACACATCTCTAATGACAGACATAAAATTGTGACAAAAAAGCAGCCACAGAACTCGTTATTTTACAAAATACCAGACAATGTAGCCTGTGATACCACAATCCGAGCAATTTCCATGTAAATTGCCACCGAAGACGAAGTTTTAGTGCATTGTTGATGAAAACCACCAGATTTCCTAACCTCAAAGCCTTGAAGCTGCTCAAAAATGATGAATCCGCAGGAAGTTGGGACTAAGGTGAGAGAATACCACTCCTTCTTGGAAGACACTTTAAAAAGGGACCTCGCCGACGTGCAAGCCAAGCTCGAGGACAAAGTGAAACAATACAAAGAATGGGAGGAAGTGAAGCAGGTTACGAAAGCCCTTGACGAATTCAAGGAGAAGGACTGCGATATGGTGGTACGCATGGGGTTAGGTTGTGGTGTCCACGTGACTGGTGAAGTGTCGGATTATGAGCGGACCTACGTCGACGTCGGGTTGGGTTATTTCCTGGAGATGGACACCAAGGAGGCTGATAAATATTCGGATATTAGGATGCGCAGTTTGAAAAAGGACATCGAGCATTACAGGAAGCTGGCGGTTCATATTAAAGTCAATATCAAGATGGTGTTGTTGGCTATCAATGAACTGCAGTCTCTCATGCTGAAGTAATAAACTTATCAACTTTCAAAACAATTTTATTTTAAAATATTTAAATTTAAGCTATTACACAACATGTGAACACCTTTTAATAAGTCAATACTTACATTTACATTACAAAACTATGGTATAAAACTAGCGGACTACGTACAAAATTAGACTGTTGTGAGCGTAACAAATATTTTACATCTTTTTTTAAATTTTACTTAAAAACTCACTCCTTCTGTAACATATCGTAATTTCTTTTCTTAGTTAACTACTAGATAACCATCACGTAACTACTAATAATTAGTTTATTATAAAGCACACTTATATTGTGAAAAGAATTATATCTAAAAGTTTATAATTGGCCATATTCATTGTTAAAAAATTAACTTTACTTTATGCAGTTCAACGAAATATTACGCTACGTCAGTCTTCTCATGCAAATGCCTCCCTCTGGAATGTGGGCGAGAATTCTTAACACACACTGATTCTTCGGTAAATTATACGCTACGTTAAGTCTGAATACTGCATAAAATAAAGCAGATTTATGTGCATTTCTGAAATTTACAGTGACAGTCCAGCGAGATTTTTCAGCGGGACAGCAGCATTTGAACAATAAGAACGTAGTGGGCTGGAAAACTTTATTACATAGGGGAGATATGTGCCACATGTACTACAAGTTCGAAATCAAGGTACCACGTTAACCCCGGTTTGATTTAAATCGTCATTTTGATTTTCATTCTTGTACTTTGACGTTTCTTTGTAGCAAAAATTGTGTGGTTACGTCACTGTCACATGATCGTTAAATGTCATACGTCACCAATCAGAAATTGACTTTGCTCACGTGATATGATATGAAATATGGAAGTTCGAATACCGTTTTATATTAAAGATCGTATTAGTTTTATTGCTTTCGGGTTGTGTATATCTTGGATCAGTTATATAACTAACTGAAGTCTATTTAATTTTTTCGGTAAAATTACGAATTTGGGAGTGAGTATTGCTTCGTTTCATATCGGTTTTATCGCAATTTCAGTCCATGAAGGTGGTAGATATTAATCGAATTTACAATTTTTTTCGTTTTCCCTGTCACGAGGAAAATAAATGAATTAGAACAACGAAAAATGATTCTTTGAATAAAAATTAGTTACGCGCATTAAAGTAAGAAGCGGCAAAATTTCTTACTCCATAGTAAAGAGCTAAAAAAGGTATGTGGCATAATACGAATTATTTTCGTGAGTGACCGTGGAATGTATGAATTTTTTAAAAGTGCTATTAGATGACCAGTTTTGACTAATTTGAGATAATTAAATAATGGTCACTACATCTAATGGATTCTTTTATTTCTTGGCAACTAGACACAAAAAAGTAGTCAACTATTTTTTGAGTAATTACATCGGTAGTGATTTTAGCAACCTGAGTCGTTTGAAACTTTGGCTAAAATGTGTAATTTGGCACAGTTTTATTATTACTGCACATGAAAACAACGCCCTTTTATTTAAAATTTGCCTGTCAACAAGTGCTGGAAGTAATTTAGTAAGTAAAATATGAGCGAGTTCTAAAATCATGTAGCCATGAGTTGAAAGAGTCGTTTTATACAAGTGAATTTGCCGCCTCGTTATGATGATGGATGCCAATCATAACCTAACTTGTCAATTCAAGACCTGACACAATACCGACTGTTGCACATACGAAACTCAAATGCCGCTGCAATCGTCCCATTCATCTCCACTGGACCACTATTCAGTTACCGAACCCCAACGTTTCTCCACGTTTCGTGCAGCGAAAGCGCATCTTCAGCGTCGAGTGCTTCCAGGTTTGTGCGGTGTCATCGTTCCGTTAGCCGAAGATGCTCGTTCCGCTGCACCGAAACGTTGCCGGTTGCGGTGCCGCTCCCTTAATATATACAGAGTATATAAACAACGTTTATTGATGTTTCGATATTTGTCTGGACAACAGCTAATCGAATTAAAAATTAACAACAAATCGTATATATCATAACACATGGATACTGATTACCGACAAGATGTAGTAGCTCTGTACAAAAGCAAGCGACTTGCTTCAGCAAGTGCGCGCCAACTTGATGAGTAGGCCATATGGAAACATGCGCCGCCTGCACCATGGATTCAGCAGGTATTACCCGACTGGATACATCACTAATAATAGAATAATGCAATGCACGGCTATAACAACACTAACCTAAACGTTGATAAGCATTCGCAGAATGATGATATTTCGTAGACACTGAAATTAGACTTAAGCCACGCACGGAAATCGCAACAGATGGCATGGTACTACCAATCCGGGGAGATCAACCTTAAGATTCGGCTTGGGGCGGCAGACACGCGGGATCTGCCGGATTTCGCCGGTCCAGAGTGGAGCTTTGGAGGTGGCGTTCTACAGATGAGACAGACTGTAGATCGTCTGTCCCCGCGTGTCTGCCGTCCGAGTCGAAAGAACAGGCTATAGACACGTAAAAACAACTTAGCTTTCCATTGTTGTACAGTGACACTATCACTTGTTACAGATTATAAAGGAATGTCGCATTCGATGATTGTTTTTACGCTTCGCCTAACGCCTAAGCAACAGATTTAAGTCAGATATTATCATGTATTTGAGCAAGATCTACTGTAACACGAGTTTGGGAAAAAAATGACCGTTCTTAAGTGGTCTTCCAACCGAATCGACTGATCTACACAAAGCAGTCGGAGAACGAAGTAGCATTAAAACTTTAAAATTACACAACCTATTCTATACTTTCCAATAAATGCTGATAACATTGATTAGAATGTTTACATGTCTAAGAAATCTAACATTCTAACGATTGTACATAATAAATATCCCAAGTCGTTCGGTAATAGAGAAAATTGTGCTCTAAAAACATGTAATCTATTAGCCTGAGAAACATTAGACCTAACACAGTGTTGATGTAAATTTTTTTTTTTTCTTTTGGGATGATCAGTACAAAATCCAAGGCAACTTATTATGTGTTTTCTAGCAATACGTTTTGATTGCTCACTTTTAAGCTCATCCTTAACAACTACGATAAAATCATCACGTCCAATCTATAGTCGGAGTAAATTTTGGGTTTTGTTCGTTGCATGAAAAGTTTGATTGTGTTGGCGGATGGAGCAGATGCAGACCCAAAAAGCGGAAATCTGGGTGGTATTGCGGGGTACCCTGTAGCGGTTTGGAAAATGCAGTGGTTTTGGGTCGGTTTTCCAAAAATACGAAAGATAGGATCGGTGCTAATGTTAAAATTTTACACAAAAAACGAGATATATGTTTGTTTTATTTACCTTTCCCCACTACAGTGAAAATAAGTTGGGGGATAATTAAACATAAGGAAAGTTGGTAGAACTGGATAACTTCCACTTTTATACTTGAAGATTTTCAGTTATTATTTTTGTACGTATTCAGGATGTCTCTGCGACCTGATGACATTGATTGTCCAGTCGTGACACAATTAGCTCGCTGGGACACCCTGTATATCTTGTTTTTTTGCGTGTGCTGTGCACACTGTTATTTTTTCATTTTAATCTTTTTTTTTTGGATAGTTTCGAAGTGTTTTAGATTTATTTTAATTTTCATACAAAGTGGTGAAAAGAATGGAAAACAAGTGTATAGATAAACAAGTGTAAAATTAGCTCAGTAAACCATATTAGAAGCTCCATTTTCTTCTAATTCTTTAAAGTTGTTCTTACAATTAATTTTATTATAAATAGGTGCTAAGTGTACTGTGTATTTTGTACTGTGATACCGTGTTCCAGCAAATGGTTTTAAATATTATACAACACTTAGTTAAATACATACATGCAACCAATTATACATCAACCACAAGTGAAAACAATCCATGAATCCAAGAGTTTCCTAGCAAAAATTCAACTTGTACTTTTGTGGAATCATAATCATAAAATAATATTGTGGTGTCCCAGTTTAAATTCAAATTTCGCGCTGAGAGAAAAAACGCCACATGGTGAGCATTAGGGGTACCTAAGTTAAAGTGAGTATAATTTTATGAAAGAGCCATTGTTTAAACGAAAATTAATTGACGCCTTTGTGTAAATTTTTTGTTGGTGGAAACTTGATAGAGTGTGGCATAATTTAACATCGTGGAGATTTTTCCACCAAGAATCAACAATAAAATCAACGAGGTGAAGTCCTTCGGCGCTTCGTTGTGATGATGATTGTTACTCATGGCCAGTCATAATCTAGCCGTCTTAAGCTTTTCAAGTAACCGTATTAGAAATCCAGTGATAGATTTTCCAACAGCAATTTTTTATAGTCGCGTTGTATTTTAAGACCAACGAAGGGAAAGAGGTAGAATTTAGTGGGATGAAAGATAAGATTGGGGCGTCCCGTGGGAGCTCGTAGGTGGAGGATTTCCATCGAGGCTTCACCTTCGGTTAGTAGTTTGTACGAAATTAAGATTTACATTTGTGGCTTCTGCGTTAGTTTCCGGCAGCCAATTAAAAAAGCTATTATGGAAGAAGACCGATTACTGAGGAAGTAATTAAACCTTTTGTTGCCCTAAATTGGCAAGTTGTATAAGAAGCCAAAAAAACGTTTTACTTCATCGATTTATCTTTCGTGCCTTTAGAAATGTGTTGTGACGATTATTGTTATTATTATTATTTGATTGTTGTAATTTTTGGATCTGCACCTTAGTTTTTGAACCTCGGTCGTGTTTGGAGTTGGTGTTAAGCCTCATTTTGATTACACATAAGCAGCCGTTACACGGGGTTGTAAAATCGTTATGAGCTTCCCAAATAAGCCGCATTTACGCTACAAGTTTCTCGCGGAGATTAAAACCTACAAGTAATGTTAATTGACTGTTAATGTTAAAATACAAAACACTTGAAACCTGTACAGTATTATCTACAACCACATAGAACAGGTCCCTATCACTGGTTGTGAAACTGGTTGCGTCCCGAGTACTGCCACCAGTAGCGCCTGATCTTGCCGAGCAAGTACTCGTAGTCGCGCATGGCCAGCCCCGTGATGGGGAGCCCCGGAAAGCACCCGGTGACGGGAAAGAGTAGTCAGTCGTCTGCCTCCATCCCTATCAGCTCCGCCTGCATCCTGCCCTTGTAGCGGCAGCAGATCGTCATGCAGAAGATGCGCAAGGCCAGCCGGAACTGCGGGCTCATGGTGATCAGGATCATCGACTTCCAGAACGAGTTGAGGAACCCCAGCCAGACGATGCCGAAGTGGAGGAACTGCACCTGGATCTTGACGCCCGTGAAGTACTCGTACAGGCGCACCCCGATGTAGGGCGTCCACGAGGCCCAGAAGGCCAGCACCAGCGAGAACGACATCAGGTGGCTGGGGTTGGACAGGTTCTCCGACAGCGCCGTCACGTACTCCTTGTCGTGGAAAGCGTAGCCGGAGCGCAGCTTGCGCAGCATGTTGAAGATGTACGTGTAGGTGTAGACGATGGTGATGAGGCTGGGGCCGAGCACGAGGATGGAGAGCGTCACCGAGTAGGCGGCCATGCTGCCCCAGTCCAGCATGCAGATGTAGGCGTCGCTGTCGAAGACGGGCTGGTTGAAGCCGAGCAGCGGGGGGCAGCAGAGCATGGCTGCGGAGATCCAGGTGAAGGCCATCCAGCACTGGCACCGGGTCTTGGTCTGGATGGTCTCGTAGCGGAGGGGCTTGCGCACGGCCAAGTAGCGGTCGACGCTTATCCACATGAAGGTGTACACGGTGACGGCCCAGAGGGTCACTTCCACGTAGCCGACGAGGCGGCAGACGACGTCGCCGTACACCCAGTCGCGGACGACGGCGGGGTACACGGACAGGGGAACAACGAGCAGGCCGCAGAGGAGGTCGGCCACGGCGAGGGAGAGGAGGTAGCAGTTGATCACCTCCGAGGGACCTGCAGACAAGCAAAATTTTAACACGGAATGCATACATTATGAGCCTCTTCAGTACATTCATAAAATAAACGGCCTAGTAGTGAGTCAAAAAAGCAAATAGTTCAAGTCAGATCGTGTACATGATTTGAACCTCGTGGTATATTGGTGTCGAAGAAAAGGACAGTTGACAAAGAACTGGGAAAGGTTAAATATTCTACCTAAGTAGACCATTACTTTGAAGTATTTAATAGTTCAACTGGCAAGTAAAAGGTCAGGTCATGTCAGATCAGGTCAGATCAGGTCAGGTCAGGTCAGGTCAGGAAAAAAAAAACGAAAAAGGCAAGGATGATAGAACAAAGGAAGAATTGGATGGCGGAAATAACTACTTGTAGAAGCAAAAGGAAAGTGGTAAGAATCTCCTACAGTCCTACTCTTTCGTGGGCTCTCACACCTTCCTGTAGGGGTGTTCTGAAGGTACCTCCGTCTTCTTCAGGAGAAAGAAAAAGGTCACGTCAGGTCAGATAAGATCAAATCCGGTATAATCTATATGCATAAAATCCTTATCCTGATCTGACCTAATCAAACTTCTGTTTTCTACCTCTAGCTTGTTTTGTTCTTCCATATTTTCGAATAAAGTCCTAGAGCTTTCTTGAAACACCACCGGCTACTTTTCCTCATCAATTTTTTCATTATTTAATATCTTAATTTTTTTTTAATTTTAGATTTTTCAATTTTACAATATCTCAATTTAACAGTTTTGAAAATTTTCGATTTTTCAATTTTTCGATATTTTAAAACTAAAATTTTTCGATTTTTGGCTATTTCAATTCCTCGATTTTTCGACTTCGGATTATTTCAATTTCTCGATATATCGACTCCTCGACTTTTCGATTTCTCGATGTGTCAATTTTTCGATATTTCCAATTTTCTATTTTCTAATGTTTCGATGTTTCGATTTTTCAAGTGTTAATTTCTCATTTAGCAACATTTTAATTTTAGGCATTTTTCGATTTCTGGATTTTTCAAGTTTTCGGTATTTTAATTTCTCTGTTTTTCGTTGTTCCGCGATTTTTTCGTTTTAGATATCTGAATTTTTCGATACGTATTTCAGTTTTACGAATTTTCAATTTTTAAAATTTTTAGGTATTCGAGTTTCTAAATTTCCGATTTTTCGATTTCCCAATTTTTAAATTCGTCAATTTCTCAGTTTTTCGCTGTTTCAGTTTAGATTTTTCAATTTTTCAATTCTTCAATTTTTTCATTATTTAATTTCTTGATTTTTTTTTTATTTTAGATGTTTCAATTTTACAATTTCTTAATTTATCAATTTTGTAATTTTTCGATTCTTCAATTTTCTATTTTTCGATTTTCCGATTTATCTTTTTTTTTAATTCAAGTTTTTATTCATTTCTTAGATTTTTCGGTTTTTCGATTTTTCAGTAGTTCGATTTTTTAATTTTTCAATTTTTTTTAATTAAATTTTTTCAATTTTTAATTTTTTCATTTTGGGTTATTTCGATTTCTCAATTTTTCTCGATTCCTTGATGTTTCTATTTCTCAACTTGTTAATTTTTCGATAGTTCGATTTTTGCATTTCATATTTTTTCGATGTTTCGATTTCTCAATTTTGCAATATTTCAGTTTTGGGGGAATTTTTCGATTTCTGGATTTTTAAAATTTTCGATATTCTAATTTTTCAATTTTTGATTTTAGGTCTTCGATTTTTCGATTTCTCAATTTTTAATTTTTCAATTTCTCAGTTTTTCGCTGTTTCAGGTTAAACATTTTTCAATTTTTCAATTCTTCAAGTTTTTTATATTTAAATTTCTTTATTTTTTCGATTTTTTTAATTTTAGAATTTTCAGTTTTACAATTTTTTAATTTATCAGTTTTTATTTTTTTTATTCTTCAGTTTTTAATTTTTTCGATTTTTTGATTTATCAGTTTCTTTGGAGTTCTGGGAATTTTCAATTTTTCTATTCCATACATTTTTGATATTTGAAGTTTTCGATTTTTTAAATTTTAGGGTTTTCGATTTCTGGTTTTTTGGACATTTCAGTTTTTGGATTTTTTAAATTTTCGATTTTTCAGAATTAAAGTTTTTCGATTTTGGGCTATTTCGATTCCTCGATTTTTCGACTACGGACTGTTTCGATTTCTCGATATATTGACTTTTCGACTTTTCGACTTCTCGATGTGTCAATTTTTCCAATTGTCTATTTTAACAATTTTTCATTTTATCAGTTTTAAAATTTTTTGTTTCTTCAGTTTTTTCGTTTTTCGATTTTTCAATTTATCTTTTTACTTCCCGAGCGTAAGCAAAGGAAGTATTGTAATCGAGTCCGTCGGCCGACTCTCTACTTTTACGTTTTCTCGATCTTTCATGACCCCTAGAAGACGAAGAAATAGGTCTCCCATTTCCGTCTGTCTGTCCGTCTGTCCGTCTGTCCGTCTGTTCGTCTGTCCGTCTGTCCGTCTGTCCGTCTGTCCGTCTGTCCGTCCGTCTGTCCGTCTGTCCGTTTGTCCGTCTGTCCGTCTGTCCGTCTGTCCGTCTGTTGTCACGGATTTTTATTAGACAGATAATCTCCGAAAGTACTCGACCGATTGTTGTGAAATTTTGTATTTATATTAAGAATATCATGTAGATGGTAAAACGCTAACCAAAATTTGTCGAATCATCCCCACCACTAAAGCGATGACGTCACTTCAAAATTGTACATAGTAAATGGGTTTTCAATTGTATAAAATAACATAGTCCTACACATGTAGTTTACAACTCTGAATCGACTTTTCACTCGAAACGTCCAGATTTTTGGAAAAAAAAATCAAAATTATAAAACAACATTTTGAAATTTAATTTTTAATCTGCTAACCAGAATGCTTTGAAATGTTGCAGATGTTTTAAGGCTATAAAGAGCATCATAAATCTTTAGTCAAAAAATATTTGCTTATCCCCTCCAAAAACTTGATGACGTCAGCTCAAAAGTTTGTGGAATAAATCATATCTAAAATGTACAAAATATGATGAGTCTGTACTTGTGAACTATCACTCCATTAATATTTTTTGGATTTGCATATACAGGGTGACTCAAAAAAATTAATGAATGCGTAAATATATTTTATTGATTTAATCAGGAACTACAAAACCGAATGCTCTGAAATCTTGCAGATGTTTTAAGGTCATAAAGAGCATAATAAATGTTTAGTCAAAATATATTTGCTTATCCCCTCCAAAAACTTGATGACGTCAGCTCGAAAGTTTGCCGAATAAATCATATCTAAAATGTACAAAATATGATGAGTCTGTACTTGTCATTTATCACTCCATTCATATTTTTGGATTTGCATATGCAGGGTGACTCAAAAAAATTAATGAAAGCGTGAATTTATTTTATCGATTTAATCAGGAATTACAAAACCGAATGCTTTGAAATCTTGGGAATATTTTAAAGTTATTATAAGCATGGTAAACTTTTGTTCAAAATGTATTTGTTCATCCCTCCTAAAAAATTGATGACGTCACCCTTAAATTTTGCTGAATAAATCCTATCTAAAATGCAAAAAATATGATGAGTTTGTACTTGTGATTTATCATTCCATTCATATTTTTTAGATTTTCTTAAGAGGTGGTTCAAAAAAATTAATGAAGTCAATTTATTTTATTGATTAAATTAAAGGCAACACTTATTATTAGTATTACACCCCAACCAACCCAATTTGGTAGACACAAAATTTGTTAAAGGAAAAACTCGGTTGAAACATAGGGTAGCACGCTTATTTACATCGACTTTAACATTACAGACCTGCATTTGTTTTATGCGTTCACTTGATTCCGCGAATGTGAAATAGACATGTTTATAATCAACCAATTGTGAATTTCACCGTCAAGAATTAAAATAAAACCCAATGTTTTATATAATAAGCGGAAGTCGAAGCAATAAAACCGACGGTCGTTTTGTTTACAGTTTCTGTGTTTGGCTCTCACGTATGCTGTTACGCCTGTCATCTTAAATTAACAATGTTTATACATACACGATTTTCAGTTGCCTCTGATACGTAGGTATACGTGAGTAAATTGTTTCGTTATTTTATTGATTATTACAAATCAATATTCAAACGACCCAATTCATTTTCCCGAAAATTTGAGAATATAATAATTTTATTCTTAGTATTACACTACATCTATCCCAACTGATATACGTGTCCTTGCAAAAATGTTGATGACGTCATCGCAATTTTTTTTTAAATTCCCACTACAAAAATGTAATGAGAAAAAAAACACAATAGGCATGCAGTCGTCAAGTTTCCGACAGCGAGGGAACTACTGTCTAAACTCTTTAGACCAATTTTTTTTTAATGTATTTTTTTATTCGATCTTGGGTTATTTTGATTTTTCAGTTGTCCGATGTTTGAACTTTGGAGTTTTTCCATTTATTTATCATTTTTTTGAAATTGCAGTTCTGGGAATTTTCAATTATTCTATTGTACAAAGTTTTGATATTTGAAGTTTTCGATTTTTTAAATTTTAGGGTTATCGATTTCTCGTTGTTTGGACTTTTCAGTTTTTGGATTTTTTAAATTTTCGACTTTTCAGAATTAAAGTTTTTCGATTTTGGGCTATTTCGATTCCTCGGTTTTTCGACTACGGACTGTTTCGATTTCTCGATATATTGACTTTTCGACTTTTCGACTTCTCGATGTGTCAATTTTTCCAATTGTCTATTTTAACAATTTTTCATTTTATCAGTTTTAAAATTTTTTGATTCTTCAGTTTTTCCGTTTTTCGATTTTTCAATTTATCTTTTTTTTTAATGTAATTTTTTATTCGATCTTGGGTTATTTTGATTTTTCAGTTTTCCGATATTTGAACTTTGGAGTTTTTCCATTTATTTATCATTTTTTTGAAATTGCAGTTCTGGGAATTTTCAATTATTCTATTGTACAAAGTTTTGATATTTGAAGTTTTCGATTTTTTAAATTTTAGGGTTTTCGAGTTCTCGTTGTTTGGACTTTTCAGTTT